CTCAGACAGGAGTTAATAGTGCATTTGTCGGGGACTATTTTCAGTGGCGGATTAATCCACATGTGGTTCTCTAGTCAGTATCTGGTGAAGCAGGACGTTGTATGTTAACCTTGCGAGATCATGCGAGAATCCATCTTTTCAGGCCTCAATCGACTCTTCTGTGGCCGGTACAGTGGCGCCAGACCAATCGGCGTCCTTTATCCACAATGGCGGCTGCCAGAGGTTAACGTAGACGCTGCTAGCATCAGTTATATCAGAACTGTAGAGTGTGTCTTCACTTAGACCAAGATCTGATTCTGACTGTGGATCTGACTGGTTGTAGTTCACCTGTGATAGACGGTGACAGAGAGATGGTTCATGCAATCGCCTGCAGAGTATTTTTTTGAAAGTGCCTGCCCTTTAACAAACTGGTGTATGTACAAACTACAGTGTGTACAGTTCATTGTAATGAAGGTACCCAGTGTCACCCAGTGCAACAGTGACTCACTTTGGGGAACAGAGGAATGAGGTTCATCAGGCTTTGGATACACACAAAATACTGGTAGAAGATACAGTCAGTGAGGGTTTTAGTCTAATCATGGGATTTGTTTTTCAAGCTGTAGTTCGAAGCGTCGTTAAGCAAATATTTATTTAGTGTCTGTTAGTCAATGCAGGTGCTTCTAAGACTGGAGACTATTTTGTTTTAATACGGCATGGGTTTTTCAGGCTTTTTTAAGAACGTACATCTCGTGCGGCCTCCTTTGTAACTGTGATTTCATTCCTTTAAAAAGAAATGTTTTATGTAGCTTCTTTTTGTGTAGCTACATTTTTGTCTAAAAGGGGCGGCACAGTTCAGCCAAATTACACACACAAAAAACATTATTATAACACAAAAATTATCTCCAGTCGTATCTAGCCATACAGATGATTTTCTATTTGAGATATAGCTCACTGAGATTCTTCCTCCCACTCCAAAACAACAGAAGTGAATATGTTTGTGGCGCTCACAATTAGGAACATACCGAGGAATATGAGGGTTTTAGATGTAATTTTGAAACAGCATTTAGCCTCATATGTTAAAAAAAAAAAAAACAGTAACGCTTCATGTGTGACAAAATAATCTCAATTTAAAATCCACTTACTACCTCTTCAGAGTCTATTTTATCTTTTCTCAACATCTTATTCTTAATTTACAGGTATGTAAATTCCTGATCATTTATTTCCTGGAGAGATATGTGTAATCTACTAATTACACTAATAATGGGGGGGGAACAAAGATATTCGTTCCTTTAGTCAGGTTAGTTGTGCCGAGTTCATACGACGTTCACGATTTCCTTGAAATACCTGCATCATTTAAATTAAACCTGAAGAAAAATATAATCGATCTCCTCACTGAATAAAAGTTATTAAAACACTTTTTGTGGTGATTCTGACTCGTGATCTTAGTCGGTTATTTTTTTAAATGCTGGTTAAGGCTTTCCTCACAGCATTAAAAAGCGTACCTTTTGAGAATTAACCAGCACATATAGTCAGCAGCTTTAATAGGAACTATCTCGTCAGTAGTAAGTTGTTCTGCTTGAAGCCGTTTACAGCGAGGACTGTGGATTATTCACAGTAACAGAGGGACTGTTTCTCAAAACAATTGTCACGGGTTAATTTTTAAAATGTCATCTGCTGCGACGAACAAAAAATGGGATTCAGTTCACCTCCATTGTGAAGATATCAGGAGATAACAACCGAGAATTCCTGCATGGATTGATACCACTAGCGGTGAGCGGGAAGCCATTTGTCTTCTTGTAATTTGGGTGAACTGACCCTTTAAGGATGTTAGCTCCATTGCTGCTTTTGAAAGAAATAACAAATAAAGTGACATTTATGGTGTTCGAGATGCTGATCCAGCTACAAGAGGAAGAATGATGGAGGAGGAGGATCAGCGTGAAAGTGTTTAGCTGGTGGTTGGAAGACTATAGTGCGTTGCAGAGAGCATAGGGAGTGAATGGAGATAGAGACAGAGGATGGAGGGAGGTGGTAGGGTGGGGTGGGGGGGTGGAGGGAGGGGGGGCAACAAGATGGAGAGAGACTGCCTGCACATACTGTCAAGGCAGTTAATATAAGGTGTGGAGATAAGGCCCCACAGACAAACATTGACCAAATCAGGCATTTCAGCAGCGCAGCCCGAACTGTCAGTCAGCCTGAGAGACAGACCAACAATCAGCACTCTACCTCTGATAAGGGCTCTACTGGGCGCGTGCAGGAAATAGCCAATCTGCAGCCAGCCTGGCAAGGAGGGGTGATGGCGGGGAGTGGAGAGGGGAGGAGAGGAGAGGACGGGGGGGAGGCGTGATGATGGAGAGTGAAGGGGTTAGAGGAGGGAGTGAATGTAGAGAGACAACAAGTGAGGGGAAAGTGGCCTATAAATTTAGAGAGAAATGTGGACCAAGAGTTCACAGGAGAGGATAATACCCGAGAGAAAGGGGAAAGGCGGAGAGAAGGAAGGGAAAGAAAACAGGATGATATTCCTCCACACCCCAACCAAGCGCTCTCACAGAGAAAGAGATTCAGGAGGGAATAAAAGTGATGGGGGTAAAAAGAAAAGAAAAAAATAGAAAGAGAGGTGTGATATCGGCTCCTAAAATAGTGTCTCTCCACAGTTTTTTGTCACCTGGGAACAGCTTGCACAGAGAGAGTGTGAGAACCAGGTTTAGACCAACACCTTACATTAATGATTTGCCAACAGCTTTGACTAGCTCATTATTCAATGTGCCGTTCGCCTTGCCTCGCACACAATAGCATCATTTCATCGTCTCTATTGATTAATGGTGCATATAGTGTGTACATGCGCGCGCACAAGTTCTCATGCCTGAGTGAAGGATAACACTCTCTATTTAATGGAGGAGTCTGCACTGGCTATGAAATTCCCTCATAACAAAATAAACACATCCAAAATGCTGGAGTGGATGCCTATGGAAATCTAAAGGGGTTGGCAGCTTGGATCCACACTGGCCCCTGTGGGTCACATCTGGAACTGCAGCCTGGCAGCAGGTTTGAGGAAATAAATTCCCAGCCGTTTACCTTTGTCAAACACATTTAGGTTCCTCCAAGCAAAACAGTGGAGAGCACCAACAGCTGGCGAGTATTTATTTTTCGGAAGTGGAGTCAGAGGGGTGTCTGAGCTTCCTTGATCATGAACCAAACTGCCATTACCATGACCACTGATAACAGTAGGAATCGTAAACAAGCTAATCACCGAGGGCCTGTTTGTATTCTCATTTGTGTTTGCATGCACTGATGTGCTAGGGGGAGGGCGCAGGGAGCAGAAAAACATGCAAGGGTGGCGTCGGAGAATGGGGAGGGACACACACACACACAAACACGGGTGGAGGGTGGGTTTGTGTGCGAAAGGGTTAAGTTCCCTCCCTGGTTGCATGCTGCTTTCCCTTGCTCTGTCAAGCCCCATTAAACCTGCTACACCACAGCAATAAGGTGCCATCAATTACAGGCACGCTGCCATCAATGCAGAGCACAGAGGAGAGGAGAGAAGAGGAGAGGAGAGGAGAGGAGAGGCAGGAACACATAAACAGGACAAACGGCCACATAAAAGACCTGCAGCTACATAAAGCCCTGCAGCCCGCCTCGTAGACAGCTACACGCACTCACTTTCTCCCTCTTCTTGGCTCTGTTTGCATCACCTCTGAGGTATACCATCAGTCTGTTTGTGAATGAGAGGATGCTTTGTTTCAAACACACACAAAATGCATTCATTTCAAATTCACTTTCATTCATGATAGGGAGCAGCACTTAGGAGAAGGCTGAAATAAGATGTGGGGAAGCTGGGTGACGACATTTAATTGTGTGCTTCTACTGCCCCCATGTGATAGCTGTGGCGTAGCTCAGAACAACAGAGGCACGAGAAGCAAATTCATAAAACTTTTTAAAATATATCCACCCCCCTTTATGTGCTAAAATCTAAAATCAATTAGACCATAACGGCAAGAGTAAGATCAATAGCAGTGAGCAGTCTTCACAGTGACGCTTACAAAAGTCAGTGTTTCATCTCCATCACAGAGTAACCTGTATTCCTCAAGGTTCTGGCTGTATTATCAACCATTCAATGCTGGAAAGACAGGACAGCTGTTGTCCTTCAGCGCCAGACAAAAGGAGGAAGACAGACCACCGCTGTATTGAGATCTGAGCAGGAAATTGTTGCCAACCAGCAAAGAGAGAAAGAAGGCTATCTTTCTTTGCCTTTTGTTGTTACCTTTAAAAGATAATATTGAGCGTTGCAGCTTGACTAAGATTCTTTGTGTAAGTCATAAAATCTAACTTTTGGTTATTTAAAAGAAAAGAAAAGCACAATACAAATATTAAGGATGCACCGAATTGATCCCACTCACCGGATCAGTTTCAGCTCCGATAAGGACCTTATAAAGTGGAATGTCCAGACTCTCAAAGCCTTCAACATCACATCTAAACTGTTAGGTTGAATGCAATTGTGTAAAATACAGTTAACAGGGTTCCTTTATACCCACAGCAATCAATGCACATTGTCACTTTGTTAGACTGTATGTTTTGATCGGGACAATTCAGTGCTTGATGATTTGCAGAGCAATGAATCAACAGAGCACAAATATGACGACAGGTTTCATTTCAACTGTTAAAAAGACTCATTGTGCAGATCAGACACCAGATTAGGTTGAAAATCAATCATTTTCAAGGAGTATATTCAAATTCAAGCATATTCCAAACCTTGAAAATGATTAAAATTAGACATTTTTTAAATTTTCCATAAGACTTTGTACAAACTCTGGTCACAGACTCAGGAAAAAGCAAATCAGGGGATCTTTCTAACAAGGTAATTGACCTTTTCTGTGGGAAACCATATCAGACAGTCAAGTTATTATTCAAAGAAGAGTATTTTTATACTTTACATGTAAATTTGGCAAAAAGAGAGAACAGGGATCGGATCAGGAACCTGATAATCAAACATTTTGCAATAAAAAAGGTAAAAAAAATGTAATGGGTATATTGTTATTGGATTTATTCATTAATCATATAAAAAGTTTCACATTGAATACAGACATTTTCATTTTTCAGTAAAAAAAAAAAAAAAACTAAATATTTTTGTTGTTTCTTTGTTTTGTTTTTTTGCATTCTCATAAACGTTACATGGCAACCAGAGAAAAGGCTTCACTCACTTACAGTAACATCTGCCAGCACGAAAATGACGAGACACTCAGGACTTTCTTACGCTTTGTTAGAACTTTAAGAGGGATTGGTTTACCCAAATTACAGAAACAACTAAAACACATATTTTCTCACTTAACATCAGTAGTATGTTTCTAGGTCATGCAGGTGGCTTTTTATTTGATTTTCCAGTTTTGAGATATCCGTCTTTCATCACAGACCTCACAGTGAACAGTTTGCATTGGAACTACAGTATGTTGAACCAAACTCCCTACGAAGAGTGTTCACAGTGAGGTCTGTGGATTATCCAGAGCACAGGTTTTCAGAGAGATTAGAGAGATAGATTATTTTAATGCAGTCCTTGTAACTCCAGAATTTGCCTGAAAACCATCAAGTTTTTTGGTTTTTCTTCAGTTCTTCAAACAGGAAGTGCTAAAAGCTCATTCGGCATACTTTTAACAGTGTCAAATTTGCAAAACAAGGCTCAAATTCTGACAGCATATACATTTTAATCCTGGTTCAACCATTTAAAGCACTTTATTTGCTGAATAAAGTTTATAATTCTTATTCTTTGAGTAGACTGGGGTGTTGGGAAGAGGCACGTTTATATTAATTTACTCTGTGTTATCCTTGAAAACCCCTGACGGAGACTGGACATCTTTGTGTCAGTTTAGAGGTAGAAGCCACAGTTATTGCCAAAACCAAAATTACCAATAGTGAGAAATTATGGTTTGACTTAGGTGAACCGACCCTTTAAAACATACAGATAAATTAAATGTTAAGAGAACAGCATATTTACAAACGGTCTCGTATTGACCTGAGTCCTATGTGGAGTTTATCTGAGAGGAGGAACTACTGCTGCCGGAGCTCTTGGTCTTCTGCCCCCTGGTGGCACTGGGCTGCCGCTGCACTCGCTGGCTGGAGGCCTCTCTGCTCTTCTCGCTGTGGCTCGCTCCAGCTTTACTGCGCACTGCTGACACAAAGCGAGGAAACACACAGAGTTAAAGGAGCAGACGAATCACTTATCCTGACTGACGGCTTCACGTGCTCCAAACAGCATGGCAAAATGGAAAATGGAAAAGGGGGGGGGCAAGGTAAGAGGTACAAATGACGGACTGCATTTCACATACAGAGGAAGACATGGTTTTCTTACCTTCTATCACTTCACACACAAGAATAAAGTGACTAGAAAGCTACTGTGATCATTCACTGTGTTTCAAGAGACTATTAAAGACTGTGTTACATCTGAAAGGAGAAATGCATTCTTCCTCTTTCAAAGGGAACATTTAATTCCTAAGTTAAAAAACACTAAATTCAGTTCCTTCAGGGACTTTTCAAAGGCTTTTACTGTCTCACTTGGTCATGTAGGACCAGGAGCTTATGATGGCTAATGTTAACTAATATTGGCAGACTACAGATTATCCGCGCCAATAAGTTATTGACCTATAATGGGAAATGTATATGTTTCTACATTATTCTGATAATGAAATCATAATTAATTATAATGTATTTTGAATTCTTATGCAAATTAATGGAAATTAATGTATATTAGTTGGACCCATTTTATATATTATACCTAAAATAAAAAAATTTAATTAAATAAAAACACTTTTTCCCTTTTTATTTGTCTGTTTTGCTCAGACAATGACTTCAACCAGTTAGTTCAACTGCCAGTTATATTTTATATTCAGACTGAAAACATGACTAATAATCATTATTATGTTAGTGTGCAGTAAGATCTTGAAAGTAGTACCCCAACTGTGTTTAATGTAGAAATCATGTGAAGTTCCTGTTTTCCAGGAGATTTTAAGTACAACTATTAAGTCCAATATATCCAATAAAGTCCTGCTTTCACTGAAGGGTTTCAGGCTTTTTGAATTCAATTTTCCTCCGTCATACCTAACAGCCGTTCTGCTGGCTCAGCATATTTGTGGAGGAGGAACCGCAGAAAAATTACTTTTGGAATTTGTGAATCAATTCAGAAGCATACAAAATAAAAATGTCATTTCTTACGCGCCATATTTTTTCTTTATCCCCATTAATGAAGCATCTTGCTCTTTATAAATCAGGTAAGTTCAAACATCACCCACAACTTCAGGACTACTTAATAACTTTCTAGACACTTTGAACACACACCCGCCCAAGGTCTATAAGGTCTATAGCTCTTTCTAGTCTACACACACACACACATGCATGTACAGACATGCATACACACATAGTTTCCACTCTGCATAATTGTGAAATGAGGAAAACACAGCATGAAGTTGAAGACAAGCAAGCAGACAGATGGGGGTGTAGGACAAAGTGCACCAGAGGGGACCTTGAGAGTGAGGAGAGCTAGCGTCTTGGGGGCCGTAGACCACAATCTTAGTGTTCACCCTTGTGGCTCTGGGGCCAGACGCTGAGGGGGGAGCTGCAGGAGGCTTAGGGCTCTTTCCAGAGACCAAAGAGTCCTCTTCTTCGCAGAAAAAATAGAATTCAAGGGGGATAGAAAAGAAATTAGAAAATACCGAGACATGCACACAGTGAAGATCAGCTTCTAGTTTGTTTTTTTTTTCCTATATATCCTTGGTCTTCAGCCCACCTCCATTTAAGAGTAAAAAACCTCACTATGGAGTGGGTGGAGTGAAGAGGGATTTTAGTTGGTGGGGGGGGATTAAGGTGGTGCAGGGTGCAGGAAAAGAACCTCTGCTAAAGTCTGCACACTACTTAAGTGGAGGAATGTGAACATTTCACATGCTTGAAAAGGAAAGAGAGAACCAAAGAGCAGAGGAAGAATACAGAGAGCAAACGGAAAGTTACAGTCTGTCACAAAAAAAAAAAAGACATTTCAAACATTCAGAAAGTTGCTGCCTTTTCTAACTTTGTTACGGAAAGCGGGGAGCCTCTGCTCTGTAGACCTTGAGCTCTTTAAACGCTGTAGAAAGGGATCCTCTCTCTCTCTGTCTCTCTCTCTCTCTCATGCACGCACACACGCACACACCAGGACAAATCTAGCATTGTTTCAGCCAGACACACACACCCTCACGAAGCAGAGCGCTCCATCTTTTGTCATATTTTGTGTTGTTTCTGACTGCATTCCCAATATGACAGGAACACGACGAGCAATCTTTTCCACTGCAGTCACTTTCATAATGTTAATGACAGCTGCAATCCATTTCGTAAGTCCCACCCCCTTTTGGGACCAGGGTTAATATTCTCCTAACGCTAGGCTGCTCTATGTTGAAAAGACAACAGATACTCGTTCACGCTGCAGACACTGACCTCTGACCTCTGTAGGTGCTGTGGTGATGCTGGTCGTGTGGGAGGCGGCTGAAGACTCCATGCCGCTGCAGCTCTCAGCGACCCTCTGGCCTGCACACATCGCCTTCAGGGTCTGGAAGACCGCTTGAGGGGCCACGTTCATCTTTAACAGGTCCACTATGATCCTGGGAGGGCGAGAGGAGGAAGTGGCAGAATGTAAAATCAGAGATTCCTCCTGTTTATTACTTTATATGAGTGGAAGAAGAAGATCTTTCAGTCAAATAAAAGCACCAATACAACACTGTATAGAGTATATGTAACAAGTACTCCACTGCAATTAAAAGGCCTGAATAAAAATCCTATTTAAGTGAAAGTAAAGAAGCTAAATGAAAAGTATATTAAATGATTTGACTTTTTTTGAGGTAAACCGTCTGAGACGTTCAGAGGAGAAACGTCTCATTGGTGGAACTGCCGACACCTCATGGTCAGAAACCAAAGAGGTTTCATGTTTTTAAGTAACTAAAATCACAACGTTTTCCTCTGAGAAAAACTCAAGCAAAGCCTATCGCTACCTAGAGCTGCGACTAACGATTACTGTCATCATCTGTTCATCTGTGGGTAACTTTCTCAATTAATAACACGGCCTCAGGATCCTGTAAACACGTCACAGTGCGATTGTTTGGACATATACTGCAAATGATTCACGATTATGTGGGAAAGACGGTTTTTTGCATCACAAATTGAACTATTAACTATTAAAGTAATGAGCACTACAGCCCTTTATGATAAAGCTGTCCTGTCACACAGTTTGCATGTGGCCTCATTCTGGTTAACTGTGCAGCCCTGATACAAATACCAGTTGTTTGGTCCAGAAAATGTCATTAAACTGTTTCCCCAAAGCCCAGGATAACATCCTCAACCCAAATACAATCCGTCTCCTGCCTCCGAGGACTACAGAAGACACAGAGAGACCCTCACTTGAAGACCTCCTGGTCCACAGTGATCCCTGCAGCCTGGGTCAGTTCAAACAGCTCCGTTTCTTCCGCACTCAGCACTTTCTTCTTCTTGATGGCATATTTCTGCACGTTGCTGGTGACCACCAGCGCGGGAGAGTCCGGGGCGGCGGGAACCGGCTGCTGCGCTTGTTGAGACATCCGTGAGGGACACCTGAGTGGACGGAGGAGGACACGGTAACGTTAATACGGACTGTAATGCTGCAGCGGTTAGCGACATGGAGCGACTTGTTTCCACTTCCTCTCCGGACTATCAGCGAACACGTGACCAACGGAGCCGGAACGAGACATATAAAACGGATATTTAATTAAAATAAAACTTTTTATATATAATAATTACCGTTACGTTTGCTCTGATGAGCGTTTAGAGGTTCGTTGACCACAACACAACAGCTGGAGCCAGGCGAGGCGCGCCAAAAACACGTCATCCACAAAAAAAAAAAACCGCAATGTCCTATGGGAATTGTAGTCAGCAGAGTTTATTTTCGACGTAACAGAACTACTGTATGAAATTATGACCTTATATGAAAGATTACTATACATATTGTGGATTAATAAAATACTAAACTATAAAAATACTTCAGTAAAACAAGTAAAAGTGGAAATAAGAATTTAGGCCTAAGGATGTAAGTATAATCAGGAAAATGTACTTAAAGTATTAAAAGTATTACTGTTGTAGCTGGTTGAGGTTTTTTTTTAATTACACAAGGTCTAAATAAATAAATATCTACACACCTCAAGTCACACAAAAACAAGACCAAATTGAAAATAATAATGATAATAAAGGGAAAGCTTCCTGTTAGGTTATAGGTTATTAACACATACAAACATATCTGTACATACATTTACACCCATACTCATACACATATATACACGTACTCACACAGAAACACACACGTCTGCTGATTATTTCCTCCCTTAACCAACTGATTGTTTGGTTTGTCAAAACTTCACAGGGCTTGTTTTGTCCAACCAACAGTCCAAACCTTAAATTTACAAGAAAAAGCAGCAAATCCTGACATTTAGGAAGCTGGAACCATCAAATATGAAATGATCCGTTAACAGAACATCATATTTTATTAGCTCTTTGTGTGTTTTGTATGCAAACATCTTGTTAATTGTTAAAAATAACTAGTAAAAGACAAGAATTGTAAAAACAAAAGTAGAATATTTCCCTCTCTAATGTTGATGAGTGAGCACATTCAACCACTGTCTAAATCTAAACAGACAGAATATACTGTATACCTGTATAAATATATTTACTTTAAATAACCACTTTGCCCTCTTATACTATACTTATTGCACTTTTTGTATCTTTGTTCTTTTTCAGCTTTGTTGTTTTTGTTTTGGTTGTCAATGACTTCTTTTTCCAAGAGCTAATAAAGAAAGCATATTTCAGCCTATATTGTAAAGCTGATGCATCATAACACTTTTTATATGTGTGGATTTCTTTCAGTTATTTGTAATCTGTATGCAGGCTTATAATACAAAATACTGTACAAACGTTATTTTCATAAATGGATATCACAGAATTAAAGATGAAACTACGGCCTATATAAAATCCTCAAGATATGGGCCTTATTATTAAAACTATGTGATTCCTTAGAGATGTTTTGATTATTCTCAATCCCTCAGCTTTATGACATGTTATTACAAAGTTATCTAATTATATTTATTATTGATTTGTCTTTTCGTGTCCATTTTCTGTCTGAATCTGTCAGGTCAGAAAAGGTAACGTGTGTTGTGATGCCTGTTTGATTTTGTAAACTGTTTCTGAATAGAGGTTGCAGGTTTCTCTCTTTCTCTACAGCACAAATGATCTGCACTTTAAGTTTTAAGTTATATTTTAGTTATATTTTATATTGAAAATGTTTATTTTTATATTGAAAATTTGTATTTTTTTTTTTAAATGATTATGCTCTTACTGTTCTAGTTGTGTGTTACCTCAGGGAGTCGGGCAGAGTAAGATTTTCATTGTGCGTACTAGCCTTGTGTTTATACTGTGTGATAATAAACCTCTTTGGATCTACTCGGTGGCACTGCGCATGCACTTCAAAGGCGGAAGTAGAAGACGTCACAATGTGGCGAAATGTATGTTAAACCATCGGTATAACAACTGCAGGTTGGTACACGACAATTAAGTTCATGGTGTCCTAAATGGGGGAAAAAAAACACAAGAACAAAAGACGAAAAGGCGCCATTGTATGCTAACGGAGCTTAACGAGCAAAACCGGAAGTACACGTACGATTGTCCTCTCGCGTCTGCTCAGTCCTCTGCGCTGTCGTCCGAGAATGGCCGCCGCTGCCGCAGGAATAAACAAGCAGGGCGCCGTAGCGACGATGGAGCCCTGTATCCGACACGGGAGGGGAGCTACCGGAGGCACGGTTAAGGTTGTACAATGTTGTCCCTACAAATGCACAGCTGACAGCGGCGTGGCGTCCGCGGGCGGTCGAGTTTTGTTTGGTTAGTTTTAGCACGCAGACGGATCGGCGGCAGGAGCTAGCCGTCGTGGCTGCTCGGTTTTTGTTTTTTTGGGGGGGGGGAGGCTGCTGCGTTGGCGTTGCTGGCGCTGGATGCCAAGATCACGTCGAGTCTAGATGAGCTGCGTGCGAAAGTTGTATCGGAAGAAGGTTTCTGCGCACTTATAATGATGTAACGGGCTTGGCTTGAGATTTATTTATGCAGCAAGGCTGATGTTTGTGTGTGCTGCATGCTAACAGTGCTGGGTGGTTTTGTTTTTGGTTGTTTTGTGTTTTTTTTTGGCATCGCTTGCTGGCGTCTTGCACGGTAGCTGTGGTTGACTGCAGCTCCTCTGTGTGGTGGCACAGCTCAGTGGTCCTATTTAAAACCTGCTCCTCTTAATATTGTGGTAGCAGCTTTAATTTAAAGATCACAGTTAGAAAACAAGAGAGTTAACCACCTGAAATGCTGTGAGTCAAGGTGACTGCACCTCCCACTGAGATATTCACTGACTCTTGATCTAATGGACTCCTACAGTCTCTCTCTCTCTCTCTCTCTCTCTGTCTCTGCATAAATCACTTAAACTATGAAATCAGTGCCAGATATTAAATCTCTCCCTCCCTGCAGCAGTGGCTGCCACAGACAAGATGTTTCATCAAGGTTTGTGTGTGTGTGTTCATTTTCAGGTGCTGGAGTGTGGTGTGTGCGAGGACGTCTTCTCTCTGCAAGGGGACAAGGTCCCTCGTCTCTTGCTCTGCGGTCACACAGTGTGCCACGACTGTCTAACCCGGTTGCCCCTACACGGTCGAGCAGTCCGCTGCCCCTTCGACAGACAGGTCACTGAGCTGGGTGAGTGAGAGGATTACTGGAATAAAACATCCGTCTCCTGTTTGAATTTTATACATTTTAAGGCGTCTTTTTCTTTTCAATCGGCTTATCTTGGCCAGTTGTTTCAATACTTTGGATATTATGACATAAGACAGACCAGCTCTGCTCAGTATAACTCAGACAAGCCATGTGCGTAACGGTGATACAGCAGGCACAGAGGTATTCAGGCGTATCCTGGCATGGTAAAAAAAAAAGGATGTGAACTAGTTTCTAATGCTTTGGGACTCCGGAGAACCCGAGGCAGACACATCTGTCAGGTGACATGTCTCTCTGCCCGGAGAAAATCTGGAAGGTTTGTTGAGCATCTTCCCTTTCACTTGTCATCATATCAGGTCAAACCAGCAGAGAACCTTACGACACCGCCTGGGGAGCAGAAACTGCAGTTATTTATGAAAACAGGGACATCCAACCAAAGTTGTTTTAAAAAGCTTGTAACTTTCCTGGGAAGTCGTGTATAGATGTGAGGATAGATGTGTAAAAAAAAAAAAAAAAAAAAAAGCTAAATGTTTCTCTAATTATGCTCGTTTAAAGTTCACAGTTACAGTTCCATTTGTTGTGTGGTTCGTTAGTATACTGCTGCTATGACATGACAATTCCCCCCCCGGGATAAATAAAGGATCTGCTGTCACTGTAGCACACATTGTATGAGTTCTGCTCTAAATGAGAGTTGCACTAAAATTATTTTTGATTAGATTCAACTTATGTGTATTTGCTTGCGTTATATTCCAAAGTGCTAATTCCTACACACAATTCATCCATAGTAAACATGCATACTGCTACAGAAGTTTGTGTGTCCTGTTGAAAAGTCCAGTGTGTAACATTTAGGAGGATCTATTGTCAGAAATTTGGGTTTAAAATTCATAGCTATGTTATTATTAGTGTATATTCACTTGAATATAGGAATGTTCATGTTTTTAATACCTTTTTAGAAAGAGCGTTTTATCTCTGCAAACACTGCAGGTTTGAAGATTGTGTACTGTAGTCATGTTTTCTACAGTAGCCCAAGAAGGACAAACCAACCACTGGCTATAGATCGATATTTTTTGGCATTTTGTAGCCACCATATTTCACAGTTCTTTGTCGTTTACTCTGTACCGAGGGGAGAGCTCTTCACCTGCTGCTGTCTTCTTGTCTCAGACTGTTTTCCTTTTTTCCACACATGTTTAGGAGACTCTGGAGTTTGGGGTCTGAAGAAGAACTTTGCTCTGCTTGAACTCTTGGAGCGACTCCAGAATGGAGCTACCAACCAGTCGGGAATGGCGGAGGACGCCCTGAAAGGGATGGGAGAAGTAAGGCACCTGTGATTCCACTGTTCTTCTGCAGTCACCCTCTCTCCCTCTGCACGTCTCATTCACAGTTCTTCTCCTCATCTAGTGTATCATCCGCTGTGACGAGGACGAGAGCCACACAGCCTCTATGTACTGCACCGTGTGTGCCACCCACCTGTGTGCCGAGTGCTCCCAGCTCACCCACTCCACCCGCACACTGGCCAAACACCGCCGGGTGCCGCTGGCGGACAAGCCCCATGAGAAGACCCTGTGCCCGCAGCATCAGGTCCACGCCATCGAGTTCGTCTGCCTGGAGGAGGCCTGTCAGTCCGGACCGCTCATGTGCTGCGTGTGCAAGGAGTACGGCAAGCACCAGGGACACAAGGTAGTTCAAAAGAAGTTACGGCAACCGGTCTCACATTAGATGTACTCATCCAAAGCGAGGTGCTCATGTGTTCCCCAACTGTCCCTCCAGCATGCTGTTCTCGAGACCGAAGCTAATCAGATCCGTGCGTCCATTCTGGACATGGCCCACTGCATCCGCACCTTCACGGACGAAGTGTCCGAGTACTCGAGGAAGCTGGTGGGCATCGTGCAGCAGATAGAAGGCGGAGAGCAGATAGTAGAGGACGGAGTTGGCATGGCACACACTGAACACGTAAGATTGACTTCTTTTCACCTTAATCACTGTACCGCTGTATTCTGGTGGTTTCATGGTATATATTTATATATTTTTAATGACTGGGCCTTTTTATAGGTTCATAGTGGTTTATTCTACTGTCAGGAGTACAGAATATAAAAACATTTTAATGCCATTGGGTGTGCAGAATGTAAACTACTTTTTTTGTGCCAACTGCAACGTAGTAAAAACAGAACTTGAAAATAAAAATGACATGCCAACATCTTTAACACTTCTTTCTTTAAATAGTTGTGTAAACTGACATCAATATACGTATTCAAAGATATATTTCTCTAATGTTCTGTTGCATAAGAGAGAAACAAATGAGCTACAGCAGTTGTGGCAGATATGTGCCGGTAAGGCAGTAAATGAAAATATTAGATTACACAGGAAATTAAAACCAGTTTACAGGTTCATCCTTTACTTTGCCAAGCACTAGTACTTCTGTTGTGGCATAAACATGAGTTGTCCATCTTCTCTTTGTCAGGTCCCCGGCACAGCAGAGAGCGCACGTTCCTGCGTCCGAGCTTACTTCGCAGACCTCCACGAGACTCTGTGTCGGCAGGAGGAGATGGCGCTGAGCGTGGTGGACGCTCACGTCAGGGAGAGGCTGATCTGGCTGAGGCAGCAGCAGGAGGACATGACCATCCTGCTGTCTCAGGTCTCCACCGCCTGTCTGCACTGTGAGAAAACACTTCAGCAGGTAGGAGACACGAGCAGACACAGACACAGATACAGCGTCTTATCGAATCAGGCTGACGTGGCGAGCTTTCCCTTCCCGTTGTAGGATGACTGCAGAGTTGTTCTGGCAAAGCAGGAGATCAACTGTTTGCTGGAGACGCTTCAGAAGCAGCAGCACCAGTTCACAGAGCTGGCAGATCACATTCAGCTGGATGCTGGCATCCCCGTCACCTTCACTAAGGTACACACTCTCCTTGTCACAGCTGTTCCTGGACGTCGATCAGCCGGGAGTCCCGTCACTAAACAGAGCCCCTGTTTGGTCCAAATGTGTTACAGGACAACCGGGTTCACATCGGTCCAAAGATGGAGATCCGTGTGGTAACTCTGGGGCTCGACGGAGCAGGAAAAACCACAATCCTCTTCAAGCTGAAACAAGATGAGTTCATGCAACCCATCCCCACCATCGGTAAAAAGCATTTACAGTATAATCTGCTTACTTCTCCAGTGATGACACAAACACTTCTCTGAGTGTTGTTCTGAATAAAGTTTGTTTTCAATCTTTTCTTTTAAAGGTTTCAATGTGGAGACAGTTGAATATAAGAACTTGAAATTCACCATCTGGGACGTGGGTGGCAAACACAAGCTCAGACCCCTCTGGAAACACTATTATCTGAACACTCAAGGTACGATCTGCACTCTGCATACTTTGAATATGTTGGTTTCTGTGTCTAAATTACATTCAGCGTACTGTCTCTGACCTATAGCATGAGAAAAATCTTCCTGTTGACTTTTAGCACATTGTGGTAGACTGAAATTCTTCTCAGCAAAGTTTACTTATTGAAACCTTTTCCTTTTGTTGTTCTATTATATTTTTAAATCAAGTATATCTTTAGTTTGCGATAGGCATAAATTCTCTCAAAGGCAGCAAAGCAGTGAATTTGACCTTGATGGTGCTGGAGCAGCTCGTCTAGCCTGAGTGTGTCTGCACTAAGTACGGTGGAGCTCACTTGCATAACACAGAACTAGAGCAGCAACTCTGGTCAGAAAAAAAAGTACTATTAATGATTGCAACATGTGAATTATGCAACGATATGATGTAACAAAAGCCGACTTACTTGGAAACAGACATATTAGCCCGTTTCTGAGGAATGTTGACAGTTTTGCTGTCTGTTGGAGATGTTTGACCAAAGCAGGGAATCACTGTGTCTGTATTACAGTGTGTGAGTTGGTTAAACTCGATTATCACTATCACTGTGAAATACAGTCGAGGTCTATTCTATCCAGTGTATTGCATTCATAATGGTCATCCAAATGCATCCTTGAAGGAAATTCACCTCAGCAAAACCCTATTTTGGTAGATTTTTCCCTTCTTTTTTTAATGTTTGCATCATATTTGAGTGCTAAATGCAGTCTAACACTGAATACTGGAACATAAAGCTGCACCTCTCTTCCTCTCGTCCTGCAGCGGTGGTGTTTGTGATTGACAGCTGCCACAGGGACAGACTGATGGAGGCTCACAGTGAGCTGGCCAAACTACTGACGGAGAAGGAGCTGAGAGACGCCCTGCTGCTCATCTTTGCCAACAAACAGGTACTGGAACAATAATAATGATAATAAAATACAGATACATGCAATATCAGACACTGATGGACAAAGACGCACCATCTCACAGTGAGTGAGTGATGGGAATACCAGCTACAGTTCATTTAGTACCACTTCTGGCTTTTATAATTCAGCCAAATTTAATGATTGGTATTCATGCACATGTATCACTGATTTTATTCAATTTAATTATACTAAACCATTATCATATCCAGAATACATCATTGTACATTAAAAACTGAAATAATATAAAAACATCAAACACTATTACACGTGTATTTAATATTTTATTAATAGTAAAGTATGTGTTGTATGTTGGTGATAGGCACAGCATACATGGGTCTCGTTATTGTAATGTTACTACCAAAGGGAGGGAGAGATGGCTCTCAGACGGGAGCCGACCCGCTCAGGAACGACACATTACCATCGTGAGTTGTTTATCAGTGTGTGTGTGTGCAGGATGTTCCCGGCGCCGTGTCCGTGGAGGAGATGACGGAGCTGCTGAGCCTTCACAAGCTGTGCTGTGGGAGGAGCTGGCACATTCAGGGCTGCGACGCCCGCAGCGGGATGGGCCTCCACGAGGGGCTGGATTGGCTCTCCAGACAGCTGGTGGCCGCTGGTGTCCTGGACGTTGCCTAAATGTCACCTCCCTCTACATCGCTATTCTGGTCTGACTCTCTCCCTTAGTGACTGAACCCAACCCCCCCCCCACACACACACACACACACACACACACACACACACACACACACACACACACACACACCACTTCTAAACACTAACTTTTAAGACGAGACTGCAGCTTTAAGCCTGCCCTCTTCATCTTTCCTTCTTTGCGCACCATTGTTGGCAAAGAAAACAAAGATGTAAATACTTTCTCTAGCTTCATTGAAACATGGAAACTACAAAAATTTAAGGTCTGTGCAACCGGTTACACCCACCCTCTGAGAAATAAACCCACCAGCCACAAAAAAACTTCCCATCCTGCTTCAGTTCTAAGGCAGCTTTCAAGTTCTAACACATGGCTTACTTTAGTTTTTCTGTTCTAACCTTTTTCTTTATCTGGCATCCATAGCTAGTCGACTTCGGTCCAGTAAAATGTTAAAAATGCTCCTTGTGCCCTGCCAGAGTGGACTCTATCTGTATTTTCTATCTCACATCGTAACCACCACCGTATGTGACAGTAACCTCAACTAAACGCAGAGTAGTCTGTATTGTAATGATAGTATAATTTACGTACCTTCTTTTTTGTTGGCGACGCATCCGATAACCCTGAGAAATAACTACACTTCAGTGAATCCGCAGGCGAGATGGGGACAGAAACGTCCACTCTGGTGTGAACCAGCCCAGAGGACTTCCAGTGGCTTCAGACTGATGGTCAAATGTTCAAATTTTGACTGTTTTGTTTTCTCACTTTGCCTTGACATCTAACGTAAGCAATAGCAGTCGATGTTTCATGGGATCTTTAAATTATGTGTACAAGTTTTTTTTTTTTTTTTTAAGTGTACCGTATGAACCTATTTAATGCCACAGCTGGTCTTGAAATGGCGAACCAGTAGACTTTAGGTTGGAGTGTAGTGGTTTTCTGTTACACAACTGTTTACTGAACTTATTTATGAGCGGGAACATGGACGTTACTTTTGAGGCTTTTTTCGTGAGAGATTCAGAGTCTTTACGCACCGATTCTGCCTCCGTTTTGTGGAGTGTCCCGCACGCAGAATTTGTGGAATGCACTTGTTTGCCGCCTCACTACCACTTTTCACTTGGAAGCAAATTAACTATCTGCTGTTTATAAGTAGACTCTGAATATTAATCTCACCGCAAAAACAAAATGTCTTGTGAAAATATTCCTATTTAAACATCTCACAAGTCCAAGTTTATCTGTCCGGAGTGCAGGTACACCTTTAATCTACAGCCTTCAGTAATAATGTAATGTGAAACTTAGTGAAGCATTAAACCTAACACTGACACTTGTCTTGTTATTAAGGAAACCATCGTTTGACTTTGATTTAATCTTTATTCATTGCTATGTAATGTTTACTACTTGTATCTATGTATAAAAATGCAAATAAAAAATAAAAAAATGCACGTGTGAAAAGCCTTTCCACATAGTTTGTGAAAACATTTCCATTTGTTTTTGAACTGTAGAAGCACAATGCGCGTTGAAACCTTTGTTACCAGTGGACTTGATAATGGCTTTTGTAAATTATTCATAATGTGATGCTGTAAAATAAACTAACTGACCTTATTTGTCTGGCTGGTGGCTTTTTCTTTGAGGTCATTAACTTCATTAACAGTGATCATTGAACTGAAAACTCTCCACTGCAACTAACAGACATTGTCACTACAATCATACACAAAGCTTTCTTTAATAACTCATTCTGGTAAAAAACAAACATCACTGTACAGGACGCGATGAAGACGTTGGATCACTTTACGGTGATGTTGATGATGCTGATGTCTTCGTACGGTTTGTCGGTCTTGGGGTTCACTTTGACGTTGGAGATCCTCTGGACGGCCTCCATGCCTTTCGTACACCTTCCAAACACAGTGTGCTTGTTGTCGAGCCAAGGCTGGGGGGGAGAGAGAGAGAGAGGCATCAGCACATTAAAACCACTAATGACCAGGAGGTCAACTGTTGGATTTTTAGATTTAGTTGAAGCCTAAATTACTATTTTGAGTATAAAAGACCCTGGAAGTGTGTGGGACTTTAATTCTTAAATTACATCCTGATCCCCAACAGGGGTTGCAAAGCATCACAGAAGGGCGATGAGGAACTTTCAATTTTAAGAAACTTTTTTTTCCCCATACATTTCTGTTAAAAGTGATTTTAAGACTTCCTTTTTTTGTCAATTTTTGCAACATTTTCTAGACTAATCGACATGAACATATTTCCTTCCTTTTTTTTTATCATTTCAAATGGTCTCATTCAGCTTTTAATAGTATATTCAACATATTGATTTAATATTCATAAGAGAATATAATTACAGAAATAGTTGGTAGAATGGTAGACTAATTATTTTTTTTAGCATCTTTAATGTTGGGCTGTAGTTTTAGTTTGAGTTTGTGAACTACTACTGAGGGAACTTACCGTGGGTACGACAGTGATGAAGAACTGTGAGCCGTTGGTGCCGGGGCCTCCGTTCGCCATACTGAGCGTGTACGGGCGGTCGTGCCTCAGTGTGGCGTGGAACTCGTCCTCAAACTCTCCTCCCCAGATGCTCTCCCCTCCCATCCCTGTGCCCGTGGGGTCTCCGGTCTGAATCATAAAGCCCTGCACACAGGAAAGGCACAGGATTTAGACACAGCGTAATGCGGAGTCAGGTGATTATAGCTGGAATACGTCTCACTAACCAGATAATAAAACTTACTTTGATTACTCTGTGGAATATGTGGCTGTTGTAGTAGCCGTTCCTGCTGTGGACACAGAAGTTCTCCACCGTTTTGGGACATCTAAAATAAAGAAAGAAAGAACAGTGCTGTTTATATCTTGAATTATATAAAGTGAGACTTCTTAACAAAGCCGTAATGTTCTCAAAAACTTACTCCACTGGGAAAAGCTTGATGTGGATGTCTCCCATGGTGGTGTGGATGATGGCACTGTCAGACACCCTCTTGGGGCCCTCGGCCTGCGTGGCGGCCATCACCTCTTCCTTCGAGGGCTTCTCATTAAAGATGTCTCTGTCTGAGTCTGCGCTCTTTGTATCCTCGGGTTCTCTCTTTGAGAACTTCAGTTAGGGAACAATAACAAGGTGTTAGGGCAGGGAGCGGTGGAGGGAAAAGCTGTATGGTTGTAACGTGAACGTGATCTCACCATGTAGAAGCGGTTCTTCTTAAACGCGGTGCAGAATATGGTGGGGTCGGGCAGCACGTTATCTAAGGCGGGGTTGTCGGACGCCTTCATCTCCACGGTGGGCGCCACGTGCATGGCCTTCGCAACCCCCTGGAACAGACTCAGCTGGACCACACGAATGTTCTCCAACTTGCCGAGGATCCGCACACATCTGGGGGACGAGATCCAGTCGCATTCATGTTATTAGACACAAAGCGAAGAGGGAAGTCACAGAGGTCAGGGTTCTTGCGAGAGAGAGACACAGGGGCCCCGAGATCCTTGATGAAGTATGGAACTCAAAACCAACCAAAAGTTTAATCTTGGACCCTGCGACTCCCATAACACGTGGATTCAAAATCAATGAGGCTGAACCACAGATAATGTCTTTTTTAAGCATTCTTCTAGTAAAAAAAAAAAAAAGTGCCTACATTACCCACAATGCAACCTGACTAAGGACAGTTAGAGATACAGTTGTGTCATACTAATAGCAGCTGACATAGCTTTGAGATGAGGAGCAGAGGACTGGTAAGATCCCTTCTTTCTAACTCCACACCAATTTTATTTATTTCAAAACTTCAGCCCCAGCCAACGCCGACTCAAGTGACATCACTTGAGGCATATGAAGAAGTACCCTTCAAGACCTTTACAAACAGATTAATGTGTAAAATTCGCCTTTAACTGTCAAAAAATGAACAAGGTGCTGTCCTGACGCATCAAGTGGCACCTCCACTTAACATTAGATATTAAAGAAATACACTTCTACGAAATAAAACGTTCATCTTCAGGGAAAAAAGCTCGTCCACACAGCAAACGTCACATATTTGATGAGACAGTTGACTGAACAACTTCCTGGGGAAAACCCTGAAGCACACTGACTTTCATACAGCCGTACCTGTTGGTTTCCACGTTGATGACCTTGATGCCCAGCATGGTCCCATAGAGCACAAAGTGGCCGGTCTCATCAAAGATGATGTTTGTCAGTCTGATGCCGTCCACCTTCTCCAGCTCTCTCTCCACAGCCATTCGCCTCCCGAACTCCATGTCCGGCAGCTGCTGCCTCATCTGCTGCAACTCTGTGAACATCTGACGTATAAAGCGGCTGCGATAAGCGTGTGAGTCAGCCACGTCAGTAAAGACGGAGGCTGAGCGGGTGTGCGAGGACTTACCGTTAATGATTCGTCGAACACTCTCATCAGTTTTCCTGTCAGGAAGCGGAAGATCCTGACTTTCCTGTCAGAGGCAATGGTGGCCATTTTCTTCCCGTCGGGAGAGAACGCGAGACTGGTGGGATAGGTTTTGTGTTTCGCAAATTCATACAAGTCTGTGTCTGTTTTGTATTCCCATTGCACGTATCTGGGGAACTTGAATTCGTTCCGGAGGCCGGTCCAGTATTCCAGCATTCCCGCCTTGTCGGCAGAGACGATGACTCGAAATCTGGGATTCAGGCGGATTTGGGACAGCGGCGAGGAGTGCATCTTGTCGAAGACGTGGAGGGGCTGGTTGCTCCCCCGTCCGTCGTAGACGAAGATCTTCCCTGTGGATTTTTCCGAGCAGGCCACCGTGGATATGGCATCCCCGGGATTGTAGACCCATTCACTCTGGCCTGGGTGAAAGCTGCGCAGAAGAGAGGGAATATTTCACATTGGGAGAGAGGTGTCACTGCATCGTCGTAAAAGCCTTTCTGTCTTTCATGTGTACCACATTACACGTGGATTCATTTGGGATTTAAACTCACCCCAACTTCAGCATATTGATCATGTCAAAGTTGACAACATCAAATACTTTCATGGCCTGATCATCACCAACAGAACAGAGAAGGGCCCCTTCAGCACTGACTGCAATGCTTTCGATCACACCTGCAGGAAGGGAAGGAGCACCGTACAGTACATATAAAACAACAGGAACTGTGTTATAAAGAAACTGAAAGATTGGGATGGATTCAACGCGTACCGAGATGACTTCGAAAGTGTTTGACAAACTCTATTCCCTCTTCCTCCTTCTTCTTCCAGAACTTCACGTGGCCATCTTGGCTGGCCGTGATAATGAAGTCAGTCCTGAAATAAATAAATAAAAAGACTTTAATAAGAAACAAAGCCAGGGGCAAAAAAGAGAAATAAAGTAGGGCTGAACAATGTTCTAAAAAAAAAGATCAGGTGGAAAAACGGTTGAATTTAGCCACTGTATTTATCGAAGCACACGGGTATTCATTTTAATTTTTAATGTTTGCACAGTGTTGTTGATGAGTTCTTCTGGCTGTGGATTGTTTTCGTGAGATGTAACACATGTAGGTCGTGACTGACAACACGTTTTACTACTTATATAGCGGCTTTCTAGTCTTCTGACCACTCACAGTGCTGTACGCCGCATGTCACATCCACCCATCTGCACACATTCATACACTGACGGCAGCGGCTGCCATGCAAGGTGCCAACTGCTCATCCGAAACAGAAACTAAGGACATCCATACACAGATTCACAGGATTGGGAGAAATGTGGGGCTCAGTATCTTGCTGAAGGAAACTTTGACATGCAGCAGGAGGAGCCGGGGATCGAACCGCCAACCTTCTGATACGATATCATGCTCCATTATCAAGGCATTAATGATAGACTGTTTATGAACCAGGGTGTTTTTCTTATGGTCTTTTATGCCAGTTTGCATTTCCATATTCTATTGAACAATGTCCTCACTGTCTATTGCCTGATACTATCTTATAACACTGTAGTTAAAAAGATGAATCAATGAACAGTCTCTTGAAAAGTCCCCTGTTAATGATGTTTTAACAAACCTCTGAATGCTGGATTGGTAAATAGTGATGGTGATTGGTGCTCCGGACTGAGCCAGACCTTCTTTACATTACATTACTGTCTCACTGTCTCACTGTCTCACCCTGCAGCCCTCCTCTGTTAGTTATATGTGAGTGGTGGGGGGGGGGGTTGAACACACTCTTCATTACACAATCACTTACTTGGAGCAAACTATGTGTGTGATAACGTCTCTGTGCATGTAGCTCCGCTCGTACATCGCAGCCGAGGGGAGGTTGTCCAGATAAACGCGCTCAAACTCGAGCACTGAGGAGGGGGGGGGGGGGGGGGAGAAAACAACAACAACAACATCAACATCCAGGAGTTAGCGGGAGTTTGGTTAGCGTCGTTAGCATTGTTCAGCAGATGAATGAAAATGTGGCCACAGACACGGACCTTTCCTTTTCTTGGACTTTGAAGCTTCGCTAGGCATGGGCCCGACCCACTCCTCCTCCTCCTCTTCCTCCTCTTCCTCCTCTTCTCCTCCGTCCTGAGTATCATCTGCTTTTCGCTTAAGCTCCACATTGTTTTCTGCCTCCGCCATTGCTGCAATCTTCCGTGTGTGTGTGTGTGTGTGTGTGGTCCTTTCCGGTCTCCGCTACTTCCGTTGAATT